TCTTTCTTTTTCTCTCTTAGTTATTATTTTCTAATACGATTCTAAATAAAGTTTCTCCTCTTACTAAGCGAAAGATTCAAGATTGGTTTGTAGTGTTGTAATTGATTGGTATACAATCTGCACGATCTGTAACCTTTAATCTTTGAATTATCGAATCATTGAGAATACAATGATTTCTCGTGTACATTTTACAGACGTTTGTTCCGCACTGTAAAATTTTATTGTCCACTTTTTGTCGTTGTATCAGTCGATGGGAATTGTTCTTTTTTTCTTAGATTTTATTTCAGACTCTAAATAAAGAACGTTTCTTCTCTACTTCCTTACAAAAAGAAAGATTCAACTGGCTTGCACAAGTGTTGCAGTGTTGTAACTACGTTAGTATATATTATACGATCGTGATCTTTAATTATCTTTGATTACACGATAATTTTTGAATTATCGAGAACGCAATAGTTTCTCGTGTACACTATTCTAATAATCCGTACCATGCTCCGAGACAAACGTCAAGTGAAAATCTACGATCTTCAGTCTCGCGAATGATCAGAATTTTGACATACGGTGTATATAATATACATACAAGTTAAAGTCGAGCCACAATGATGTCTCAGAGACGTTCGCAGGTTAATACGTACATGTATAAGGATGTAAAAAAATATTTTTCTACTATGCTCGATATGGCTCTCTTCAACTCTCATATCCTGCATTCTAAGTTCACCTACTTCAACAAAGCAGTCGCTGGTAAATTATTCGTCTGAATATTGCAGAAGAAACTCGTATATAATGGAGTTAATTATAGCGCACCGATAATTGTAAATATTGTAAGAAAATTGTGAAAATAAATTAAATTATCTGAATATAGAGAATTTGAATCTTGAAATATATATATTTTTCATGTTTGAAATTTTTAATAAAAATTTAAATTTTATACTTGAAACTTAAATTCAAAGCGCTAATCTGCCATGTTAAATTAATTATTGAAGATATTTTTAACTTTATTTCATTAAATATATAATCAAATGGAAGATAATCATTTTAATGAATATTGACTAAATTTAAATAAATAAAATAAATCGTTCAGATATAAATTTTTTATAAGTAACATAAATAAAAAAATAATAATCTATTTATTGATCCAATTGACGATGAAAAATTTCAACAATAATACGAATCAGGATAATCTGAATATCGTCGTGGTATTCCTATTAATCCTAAAAAATGTTGAGAGAAAGAAGTTAAATTTACACCAATAAATATGAAGAAAAATTGAAATTTTAATCAGTTTTGATTTATTATTAATGCTGGTATCAATGGGAATCGATGAATAAATCTTGCAATAACTGAAAATAACCTACAACATAGTATGCATCATGTAAAATAATATCAATTGATGAGTTTGAAAGTATAATTCCTGTTAATCCTCCAATTGTAAATATTAAAATAAATCCAATTGATCACATAAATGAAATATTGAATCTTAATTTCGATCCGTGATAAGTAGATGGATGTAAATAATCTAAATACTTTAATTCCAGTAGGAATTGCAATAATTATTGTAAAATAATGATGTAAAATAAGCTCGTGTATCAATATCTAATTAATCCTAAAAATCCAATTCCTAATATTGTATAAGTTATTCTTAAATTTCCAAAAACTTCTTTTTTCCCCCTTTCGTTTAATAGTAATTTGTGAAATTAGTCGAAATCCTGGCAAAATTAAAATACAAACTTCTGGTAAGATAGTAAAACACAGTAATAGTAAAATACAAATGTCCAAAAATAAATCGAAATAAATGTTGATATAGAGTTGGATCTCCTCCCTATAGGATCAAGAAATGATGTATTAAAATTTCGAAAATAATCAAATAATAATATAGTAATAGCACCAGCTAATACTAATAGGTAATGATAAAATTGGTAAAATAACAGTAATTGAAATTGATCATCAAAAAAAAAAAAATTGACTCATAATTTAAAGAAAAATTTATACTATACTATATATACTAATAGTTAATGATAAAATTGGTAAAATAACAGTAATTGAAATTGATCATCAAAAAAAAAAAAAAAATTGACTGGATCATAATTTAAAGAAAAATCTTTTATCATAAAGATTGTCACAATAAAGTTTAATGATCCCAAAATTGATGAAATTCCAGTTATCAACGCGTATCTCGGGACTCTGTAAGAAAGGACTGTGCTCCTGAAAGACAAAAGTCGAGCGCACGGTGTTTCACCGTCGAGTAAACCACTAAACGATGAAAAGAAAAATGCGTATTTCTCCGCGTCTGTTGTTAACGTAAACCAGTCAGTTGGCACTGCGTGACCAGTTCCTCTTTTCTGCTTTGCTCCATTTCGTTCACAATCAGTACTCAAGGGCTTCTCATTCGCACGTTTCTCGTTCGAATGTTCGCTCACGCCTGATGTTTTTACGCCACGGAAACAATTTCTTGCGCCGATTCTATTTCTAAACCGCGCACCTTCGTAAACCAGTAAACTGACCGCGAGAATACGCGAGCTGCTGCTCCACTGGTTATGTGGCCTAAAAAAAAAAAAAAAAAATAATCGAGATTCGTACGTTTCGAGAAGGCATTTATCGTTTCTAAGGTCTCAGGCTCGACTCTGGATTTATCTTTCGCCTTGGAAAACACGATGCTCGAACAGAGCACGGAGGATGTACTTTGGCCATAATTTTCGAACGAAACCGGCGTACATCGTTGTTAAAAAACGACGGTGCTCGAGAAATATCTAATGTTATATAAGTTTTATTTTTTACATTATATATCAATGTCCACATGGAACGAAATTGGGGAATTCTGGTTCTCTTATCTTTGAAAAATACTTTGTGATTTTTTTCGTGTCTTTTGTAGTTCACTAAATTAAATAATAATGTCACAACATTATAAACACTATCATCGTAATGTAATTAAATACAATGTTATATTACGATTAAGATTTACATTACATAAATTGTAGCTTGTCAAAAAGATCGTGATTTTAATAATTTACTCGAGCGAATGAAAGAGAAGATACGAGCAAGTGAAAGAATACTTATTAGAAATTGAGAGATATCATTCTTTTTTTTTTCTGCGAGCAGAAATGCTCGGGATAAACTCGCAGGATGTTGATCCTTCACATTCTTCCTCTACACGCTTTTTTTTTTTATTACCATTGATATCTCTGTTACCATTAACTCCATCGTTCGCGTTTTCTCTCATTTCGATAAGTTCTCCAACTGTGCAGTCTAACCACTTCGAAGCTGATCGGCGCAGAACCGAGATGTATTTTACTGGAATTCTGAACCAGCACAGATCTGCAAATCACGCTTTAATGAACTTGTTATATCTGGCCATTTGTTCGAACTTCGCCGTTTCCGAGAAACTTCGTGATTTCGCAACAGGAGGCTGTTATTCAATTGATCATGTTATGCTTATAGACGCGTGATGCATAATGTGTTTTACAATGTCGGCCATTGTTCTCGCGGCGACCGATTGCGAAAATAGTAGAAAGTCATCATCGTCATTCAATGGTAATTAATGGTGATTTTCAAATAATTGCCCGATTTGCACGCAATTAGCGAAAATAATGGCCGTCCTCTGGTCTCCACTCGCCAGCTGAAATTTCAACGGGAAATTTTCGAAATGTCGGCATCCTGATTATTTCTCTGTATCGGAGCATTACGAACGACAGAAACGCAAGCATTGACCCTAGCAATAACAGTCATTGAAATTTCATCATTGAAGTTTCACACGAATTCGTGTGCCTCGCGGAATCGTTTTCTCTGTCAGCCATGTTCGAAGAATTTTCGTATCTACTTTCTTCTATTTTTTCTTTCCAAGTTTCTTTTTCAATTTTTTTTTTTTTTTTT